TTTCTATCATATTATTATATTATGATTGGGGGATATCTAAAATGGTTATTTCTTTTTAATTATAAGTTGCAGAAAGAAAAGAAATTCAGTTAAGGGCCAGGGATTTAGCTCAGTGGTTCCGCTGCCTGCTGTGCAAGCGCAAGGACCCGAGTTCAATCCCTGATACCAAAAAAAAAAGAAAGAATAAGAAATTCAGTTTCTCTATCTGGGTAGAGACTCAAAACATCCACATAGTCATTGCCACTGTAGTCATTGTACTTGCTAAGGTTGTTCACAGTGGACCCATAGTAAAACCTACTGGGGTATCACCCCAGCTTCTCAAACAAAAATTATCAAAAGACAAGAAATAGGATCTTGAAGCACAAATGCCATAAATAAAAATTTTCTTTCTTTTTTGTGGTGCTGGGAATTGAACTCAGGGCCTCTCTGTGCTAGGCAAGTGCTCTGCCACTGAGCTGTCCCACCAGGTTCCAGAGTAAGAATTTTCAAAAAGACTTTCTATTACATATTATTTCCTTCATTTTTCTACATTGTCATTTATTCCATAGATTAAAATTCTCTTATCCCTCTTTTCTCAACTTGTTTCCACTGAAATCACTGAAAGAAATTTTCTACAAGGGTAGAATACATTTTAACTTTGCTTAAAAGAATTTCCACTTGCTCTAAGTAGATCCATGTCCAGTATACTTTATTTTTGGCAATTCATAGACATCTTTGCATGGTGATTATAGTGGAATACAGTGGAACATCTCTCATTTGAGTTTATCATGGCATTAACATATGAGGGAAGAGAAGAAACTGGATCACATGAAATGTTTTCCGTGATATATGTATGGGCAGAAACATTGCCCCTAGGAAGCCTGGGCCAGGCCCTTCAATCAAGACCACAGCCATCAAATCAGAGATAAAAAGTCCCCTCTAGGCAGTTCAGTCCAGCCCTACTGTTTTATAAATGAGAAAACTAACTTAATTATCAGGCTTAGCAGCTAATTAGTGATAAAGACAAAAATAAAATTTAATCACCTTAGCTTGAGCCTGTCACATTATTTTCTGTTGTTCCGTACAGCCTCATTGAAAGCTGAATTAAGTTATTCTGCTAGTTCTTTGGGTACAGTGATAAGTATAAAGGGTGAAACTAAGCAATGATTAAGCTTATTAACTGGTCAGTAACTTGTCATTTATGCTTAATATGGAATTAAAGAATCATTAAAATTTAGAATTTTGAAAATGTTTTCTACATTTTAATAATTACTCAAGTATTTAGTATTTACATTTACCTTTTGCACCTGTCCTTTTGATGACTTTGTGAGTGTACAAATCTTTGATTTTATAATTCATATTGTATATTAGATAAGATTATCATATATGATTGTGTTTGTGTATAATTATGTGTTACCTAGCCATTTTTCTCATTAATCATGGTCTCATCAATAACTTAAGGAATTGCCAAGTTTTAAAATGTTTTAGTAACTATGAGTTTGAGAAAAACTCCATATTTTCATAGCATAAATCAAAATCACATTCTTTTTTGTGAATATAACCGTGCATGCTAGGCAAGTGTTCTAACACTGAGCTCTGCCACCAGCCCTTGATGTAATATTCTTAATGAAATAATTTATTGTCCATCCATTCAGACATTTGTCCCAATATATCAAAAAAGGACTTTATTTTTTTAATTTCATGGAAAACAGTAAGGAGGTCAAAGATATGTCTAATATATTGAAATTTGGAGCAAGATAAAATCTCTGATTGTGATGCCAGTATTTTACTATGAAGTATAATAAGTTTTATTTAGTATTATTTCTCATCCTAAGTTTTAGCAAAATTACAAATCCTTGAAGAAAGACCATTGGTTTATAAAGACCAATGATGGCTTTTGTTGCCTCTTCCTTTTGAAA